TCCAGTTGCCTCATGAAAAAGCACCTTTGGGACATCCTGGGACACGTATATTTGCCCTCATCCTGCATAGTTTCTCTTTACCACATCTTATACTTAACAAAATCAAGAAGGGGACATTATTTTGATATTTCTTTCCTTGCCTTTTCCCTCTCCCCCCCCTTAATGATTCATTGTTCCCTTTCCTCTTCCCAAGGCCATATCTACATTATTTCACATCTGGATTCTCTCTAGGTCACAGGATAGGAGAGTGCAAAACATTTCATTTGATCTATTGAACTCACATTGCAAATCCCATAGGAAGCATGAAAGTACGGTTTCAAGGGCAGAAAAGGTTCCGGGCAGCAGTTTTGTGCTTGGAACAGACCGTAAATAACAGTTTTGTGCTGCAAATGGGACTTTAGGGAAATGTCATGCTCAGAATGGTTTGACACACAATGATTGTACGCACCGCTATTCAAGAAATAGTGGCTTTCTTGGCACAGACTTTTGCGATAGGTGAAGAGCTATGGCACCAATTTGTATGCTTTCTTACCCACTGGGACAAGGTTTCTCAAGCTTGGCAACTTTAAAGAGGTGTTGACTTCTATTCCTGAATTCTCTATGATGGCTGGGTATTCCGGAATTCATTCCATACACCCACAACTTCTGGAGGCAACTTGCTCCACTGATTAATTGTTCTAACTGTCAGGAAACCATCCTTTTTAGCCAGTGAAGCCTTTGGAGGACATCAGGATACAGAACGCTACACATTAGCTTTGTGGTACATCAGTGGTTCTCAACCTTTTTAATGCCACGACCCCAACCGGTCATAAGTCGAGGACTAAACCGGTTGTAAGTCAAGGACTAAACCGGTCGTAAGTCGAGGACTAAACCGGTCGTAAGTCGAGGACTACCCAACCGGTCGTAAGTCGAGGACTTTCCATGCCCGGGAGCGCCGTGCATGCGTGGTACCGCCCCCTGCGCCGGCCGAGGCGTAGCTGGCAAGCGGCAGAGACGGAGCAGGCCGACCACCAGCTGGCCCAGCCCAAGGGAGGTAAGGCACCCGCCGGAAAAGGGGAAAAAAATGGCAGACAAAAAAAATGGCGGACAAAAAAAATGGCAGACAGCCTTCCTTGGCGACCCCCGTGAAATGGTCGATCGACCCCAAATGGGGTCCCGACCCACAGGTTGAGAACCACTGTGGTAGATAAACCTAGCAAATTAACTTTTTTTTTTTGTCACGCTTTGAAGACCTGGGTGTTCCTTTTTCCATACTGGAGAATCATCATGGTCTAATGTTGGACTTGGGGGGCCAGGAAGACTCATAGTCAGGTCCAACCTCAGCCATGGAAGCTGTCAGCCTTTCAAGGTGGGGGACAAGAAGCACAAAGCAAGACAACCTTTACTGTGAAGTCGCAGTAGCGAAATCTTGCAAGTCTGAAAGCATTTGTCCCCTTCTTCACTTTTGCTTTCCAGAAAACCAGGGAAGTTTCCTTCTACGTTGTGCATGATGGTTGTCCAGGCTGACGCTCTTCCTCCTGCATTCCCAGATACCATTACAGAAGCTCACAAGGGGTTTTTGAGCCAGTCACTCTTGCTCAGCCCAACTACACCATAGGATTATTGTAGGGAGAAATTGGGGGGGAAGGAGGATTACACTGTACAGGTAGTCCTCAACTTACAAACATTTGTTTAGTGATCCTTCAGAGTTACAACAGCACTGGAAAAAAAAGTGACTTATGACCATTTTTCACACTTAACGACCATCGCAGCCTCCCCAGGGTCACGTGATCCAAATTTGGACGTTTGGCGACTGGCATGGGTTTATGAAGTTTGCAGTGTCCCGGGATCATGTGATCACCGTTTGCGACCTTCTGACAAACAAAGTCAATGGAGAAACCGGATTCACTTAACAACCGTGTTGCTAACTTAAACAACTGCAGCGATTCACAATTGACATCGTTCTTTCCAGCATTTTACCCCGCTTTGAGTGAATTGGTGACAAGGTGAATGGTTATCTTTAGTCAATACTAACATTCAGTTCCTGATGGACATAAAGTAAGGGAATTTCTCAGACCTCCTCTCCACCCCATAATAGGATTGAGTCAAGGTTACGTCCGGGTGCAGGTCGGTGTAGACGAATTACGTCACGTTCTCAACCTATGGGCCGGGACCCCATTTGGGGTCGATCAACCATTTCATGGGGGTCGCCAAGCAAGGCTGTCCGCCATTTTTTTTGTCCGCCATTTTTTTTGTCCGCCATTTCCCCCCCCCTTTTTCGGCGGGTGCCTTACCTCCCTTGGGCTGGGCCAGTTGGTAGTCGGCCTGCTCCGTCTCTGCCGCTTGCCAGCTACGCCTTGGCCGGCGCAGGGGGCGGAACACGCATGTGCGGCGCTCCCGGGCAGGGAACGTCCTCGACTTATGACCGGATGGGTAGTCCTCGACTTACGACCGGTTTAGTCCTCGAATTACGACCGGTTGGGGTCGCGACATTAAAAAGGTTGAGAACCACTGGCTTAATGCATTGAACACCGTCCCTGCTTCTCCTCCCCATCTCCTTCCCCCTGGTCTTGCTTTAATCTGGCAACCATTTGCTTTTGCCTTTTCAAAAGTCCAATTGTTTGCAATGCTCCCCTCTCGGCTCTGGTGCTCTGGAGTCCACAACAAGCTGCCTTTTTACAAACCAGAATTGGGAGGGAGGGGCCTTCCTCAGGCACTTTCCAGATGGCAAGCTTCTCTTCCTAACACCATTATCTTGATCTAATATTCCCAGTGAACAGACGGCAGCGCAGGTTCTTCTCAGCCTTTTTTTTTTATATATAAAAATCTAAAATGTAACTGAGTTTGACTGATTGTACAGAAGTGTCTTAAAGGATATTTGCACCAGAACTTGACAATGAACACTAGCCCTCTAGGCCCATCATCAATAGCACCTAGAGTTGCCAAAATTAAATAATGGTTAATTAAAAACATCAGGATGGTTGAAATTTATGAGATTTCATAGCACCGATAGGATTTCAGTTGAGCATATAATAATAATAAAGTTGGAAGGGACCTTGGAGGTCATCTAGTCCAACCCCCTGCTCAGGCAGGAAACCCTATACCATTTCAGACAAATGGCTGTCCAGTCTCTTCTTAAAAACTTCCAGTGTTGGAGCATTCACCGATTCTGGAGGCACTGGTTCCACTGGTTAATTGTTCTGTCAGGAAGTTTATCCTTAGTTCCAGGTTGCTTCTCTCTTTAGTTAGTTTCCCTCCATTGCTTCTTGTCCTGCCTTCAGGCGCCTTGGAAAATAGCTTGACTCCCTCTTCTTTGTGGCAGCCCCTGAGATATTGGAACACTGCTATCATGTCCCCCCTCGTCCTTCTCTTCATTAAACTAGACATACCCAATTCCAGCAGCCGTTCCTTATATGCTTTAGCCTCCAGTCCCCTGATCATCTTAGTTGCTCTTCTCTGTACTCTTTCTAGAGTCTCAACAATATGAAAAATCTTAGGTTAGGACTTTTAACAGTTTTCTGAAATTTGGGTGAGCTTGTGAGATTTTGGCCCTGTATATTTTTTGGAGGTACCCACACTATTGTAAGATTGTGAACTGTAGTGCTCCCTATCTTAGAATAAAATAGAACAGAACAGAACAGAACAGAATAGAGTTGGAAGGGACTTTGGAGGTCTTCTAGTCCAGCCCCCTGCTCAAGCGGGAGAACCTATACCCGTGGTGGCGAACCTATGGCACACGTGCCACAGGTGGCACGCAGAGCCCCCCCCCTGTGGGCACGTGCACCATCGCCTCAGTCCTAGGCCTTCAGCTGGGTTTTATAAAATCTTTTCGCTTTAGGCCTCCGCCTCCATGTGCAAAAAAAAAAAAGGTTCAATCAATTTCAATTTCTCGCAGGGAAAAAAAAGATCTCGCAAAGTTGGAATCAATTGATTGAACTTTTTAATCCCACTCAGTCTGCGGTTACCACCGCAACCACGCTCATCCAATGGGCCACGGCCAACCAATGGGTCACACCCACCCAATGGGCCACGCCCAGCCAGCACCTAACGATACAGAAATGGGTTTTAGGTTGCAGTTTGGGCACTCGGTCTCTAAAAGGTTCACCATCACTGACCTATACCATCTCAGACAAGTGATTGTCTAGCCTCTTCTTAAAAACCTCCAGTGATGGAGCGCCCACGATTTCTGGAGGCAAGCTGTTCCACTGGTTAATTGTCCTCACTGTTAGGAAGTTTCTCCTTAACTCCAGGCTGCTTCTCTCTTCGATTAGTTTCCAACCATTATTTCTTGTCCTGCCCTCTGATGCTTTGGAGAATAGTTTGATCCCCTCTTCTTTCTGGCGACCCCTCAAATACTGGAATACTGCTATCACGTCACCCCTGTGTCTTATTTTCTTTAGACTAGCCAAACCCAAGTCCTGCAGCCATTCTTCATATGTTTTAGTCTCCAGGCCTTTGATCATCTTAGTTGCTCTTCTCTGAACTTTTCCCAAAATCTTAACATCTTTTTTGTAGTATGGTGATCAACATTGGTTGTAGTATTCCAGGTGTGGTCTCACTAGGGTTTTATAAAGTGGTACTAATACTTTGTGTGATCTCGATTCTATGCCTTTGTTTATACAACCCAGGATTGTATTACCTTTTTTGGCTGTTGCTGCACACGGCTGGCTCATATTCAAGTGATCATCCACTAGGACTCCAAGGTCCCTCTCACAGTTACTGTTTTTGAGCCAATTCTCACCTTAACTGTACTTACACCTTTGATTTTTCCTGCCTAAATGTGAAACTTCGCTTTTCTCCCCATTAAAATTCATTTTGTTGGGTAGGGCCCATTGTTGCCGATTCTTAATTTACTTTGACTGCAACATTGAATGTTGGTTATGGTTTCTGATAAAAAGATATAAAAATAATCTTTCTTTTCACCAAAGAGTACAGCTACAAGCTTCGTACAAGTGCTGCTTAGTTCCTCTACCCCCTTAAATCAAATGAATCATTAGCCATTTTGATTTGCTACCTTGCAGGGCTACATGGAAACAACAGGAGAGACCATCATCTATAATTCTTCGATGATCCAGCCGAACGGTGCAGTATGTAGAGACCTCCTGTTTGACCAGCATAAGGAGCACCTCTACGTCATGACTCAGTCAATGGTGAGAATAGACGAGGACCTGCTGATGGAGATGAGGAAAGCATCATATGATGATGAGAGCTTGTGCACCGGAGACAAATTCCTTCTGTGTCCAATCACACTTGGCCAATGAAGAATTCTATTCTATTCTATTCTATTCTATTCTATTCTATTCTATTCTATTCTATTCTATTCTATTCTATTCCTGTGGTGGCGAACCTATGGCACGGGTGCCAGAGGTGGTACTCAGAGCCCTCTCTGTGGGCACCCGCACTGTCGCCCCAGTCCTAGGCCTTCAGCTGGGTTTTATAAAACCTTTTCGCTTTAGGCCTCCACCGCCGTGTGCAAAAAAAAAAAAAAAGGTTCAATCAATCAACCAATTTCAACTTCTCGCGGGAAAAAAAAAGATCTCGCAAAGTTGGAATTGATTGAACTTTTTAGTCCCACCCAGTCTGCCGTTACCACCGCAGCCACGCCCACCCAATTGGCCACACCCATCCAATGGGCCATGACCCCCCCACGATACATAAGTGGGTTTTGGGTTCTAGTTTGGGCACTCGGTCTCTAAAAGGTTCGCCATCACTGTTCTATTCTATTCTGTTCTGTTCTGTTCTGTTCTGTTCTATTCTATTCTATTCTATTCTATCCCATCCCATCCCATCCTATATTTTATATATGCTAAATCAGTGAGTAGAAGATACCAGTAGTGTCCAAACTGAATCCCCAACTAATGTATCCCACCTCAGATTTTAACAAAAACATTGCAGACAAAAAATATTTTCTGCATCTAAACATTTAATGATACAATCCAATTTTTTATCCATACCTAAGAATATATATGGTAGGACTATAATAGGACTTAGTTCCAGGCAAACATATATACAGCTGTCCAGGGAGGGGCAGAGCTGTGTATCAATATTAGGGCATAATTCCCTTTTAAATGCTACAAGATTGGCTCCTGAAGAAAATGGAAATCATGAGGCTGTGAGTTCTAGTCCTGCCTTAAGCATGAAAAACCAGCTGGATGACTTTGGGCCAGTTTCTCTCTCAGTCCAACCCACCTCACTGGGCTGTTGTGGAGAAAATAGTAGTAGGAAGGAATATCAGCTATGTTTGCTGCCTCGAATTATTTCTAAAGTAATAAAGGCAGACTAAAAATGTAATAAGAGTTTTTTTAAAAAATCCAATAAACAAAACAGTATTCAAAATATTAGAGGTGTGCTGAATGGTTTGGAATGGATGAAATCTTTATGATCTTGCAGCATTTGGACTTTCAGCCACATTTGGTGATTCGATGTATTTTTCATCCTGTGTTCCCCAAAGGAGAGATTGTTCTGACACTCTTATACTATGGTGATTTTCTTTGAGCTATTGGTGTAGTAAAGCAGGGTTGGGCATGCTGGCTCAGGAATTCTGGGAGTTGAAGTCCACAGGTCATAAAGGGGCCGTAGTTACCCAACCCTGTAGTAAAGGATGAAAAATACACATCCATGAATAATAATAATAATAATAATAATAATAATAATAATAATAATAATAATAATAATAATAATAATAATAATAATAATAATAATAATAATAATAATAATAATTTAATTTATATACCGCCCTTCTCCCGCAGGACTCAGGGCGGTGCACAGCATATTAAAACAAGTACAAGTACAAAATACAAAAAATGCAAAAAATATAAACNAGTAAGGAGATCCGGAATCGTCCGGATCTCGGGGGGTAGTTCGTTCCAGAGGGTGGGGGCACCCACAGAGAAGGCCCTCCCCCTGGGGGTCGCCAGCCGACATTGTTTGGCCGACGGCACCCTGAGGAGACCCACTCTGTGGGAGCGTACCGGTCTATGGGAGGAAATCTGTGGCAGAAGGCGGTCTCGGAGGTAACCATTTGTTATATAAATATAACAAATATCATAATATCCAGATGGTTGTTGAATATTGGAAGCCCCTGTGCCAGGCTGTGTATTAATTTAATTTGACCTACGGAGTTTCATTTCATTTTGAAATAAAATTGAAAATAAAGCCACCAATGTAGTACAAGATCTCAAGGGAAATAAAACAACGTAGAAATAAGATGTACAAACCTTAGCATAAGGTTTTGTGGAACAGCTGGAGAAAATCAACTTAAGGAATTGATTGGTCCGGTATATGGCATATCTAAGGCACGCACATGTGTGTGCCCATAGGATAAAAAAAGAGTCTATATTTAATTAGAATTTGATCGATAGTCTTACAGAAACATCATTGGGGAATGAATGAGAACCATTTATTTGATAATAAGTATTTGGTACTCTCTTTTAAACAAGTGATGTTCTTGCTTGCAGCTTTAACTACATTTAAATATAATCATGGCCTCTCAGATGTTATTAGCCCACTGTTGTTTGGATGGTTGCTATGGAAACTTCAAATCATATACCTTTGCTACATTTAAAGTGGTATTTACTCAGGAAATAAGAGCATTAAGCTCAAAGTGAAATAAAGATGTAATCGTAAAATGGCTATGCGATTTAGAGAAGGGACCAGTCTCATAAACATACTTTCCTTTCATTTATCTCTCATCTTGTTATCTGCTTTTTCCCAAGGACTCCAGGACTTAAGACTGATTAAGTAACTATATTTACAAATGGGCATGCATGTAGGGTAGGCATTAAAATAGCACAGATGGACTGCAGTCCATTTATTTGCAAGTCAGCCCTGTTGGAGTAAATACATTGTCAGACTTTGCAGACTCACAAAAAATCCAGAACCTCTAATAAATAATTGTTACCGACAAAGTTCAAAAGCCGTAGCCAAAGAATTTCAGCAACGGCTGGATTTCAAGAACAAGCTCTCTATGTAGAAACCATCATTAAATCCACTTGTGCCTCTTTCACCTTCCCACGCTAAGTAAGGCCTTCTTGCCCTTTCTTTTGACAGGGCTGGCCAGTTTTGTCTGACCTTTGATTTTGCAGCGGTCAAATTTGTTCCGGTGTAATTTTTCTCTGGTGTGGGTGAGATAAAACTCTCACTCTTGTCTGCAACACACAATGGGGCCGTGCCAGGCTTTGCATTCAGCTCCAAAACTGCTTTGGAAAATGAGGGATGCTTGTGTAGGTCTAGTCTGCATTTTTTTTAAAAAGTTGTTGTGTCTTTCCCTCAAATGAGGCATCTACCTCTCCAGCTGCTGCGTGATCTTGGGAAAGACCTAGATGCTTTAAAGCAGTGGTTCTCAACCTTTTTAATGCCGCGACCCCAACCGGTCGTAAGTCGAGGACTAAACCGGTCATAAGTCGAGGACTAAACCGGTCGTAAGTCGAGGACTACCCAACCGGTCGTAAGTCGAGGACTTTCCCTGCCCGGGAGCGCCGCGCATGCGTGGTTCCGCCCCCTGTGCTGGCCGAGGCGTAGCTGGCAAGCAGCAGAGACGGAGCAGGCCGACCACCAGCTGGCCCAGCCCAAGGGAGGTAAGGCACCCACCGGAAAAGGGAAAAAAATGGCGGACAAAAAAAATGGCAGACAGCCTTGCTTGGCGACCCCCATGAAATGGTCGATCGACCCCAAATGGGGTCCCGACCCACAGGTTGAGAACCACTGCTTTAAAGAGTTATAGAAAGGTGCTGAGTTTGAACTCATGAACGTTCCTAAGCACATTTCCAAGAGTCAGTTCAAAAGGCCCCATTTCATAGCATTCAAATGAGAGCTGGTTTTTTTTTAGCTTTTTAATGAGCTTTTAAATTATAAACATGGTTCAGACAATACCGTACTCCAGCCAAAGAAATAAGATAATTGGGTGTAATAAACCTAGCAGATGGAATTGTCCTCTACATTGCTGTCATCGAAGAGTCTCCCCCAGCCTGGTGCCATTGGTCACTTTCTGTTTTTTTTATGAGCTCTCCATCAAATTTCTCATTAGGGACTAGCTCTGTGTCCAAGCCAGTTGGGAATTTCAACCTTGATATCAATTAGAGACCAACAGGTTTCATCAGAGCCTGTCTCACACCCCCACTCACTTTGCGAGTACTCTCCTTCCTGTCTATTGCTGTACCTTTTTTGGATCTTTGATAATTTTCCTACCCAGGGCAAGCAGCGACAGAATTGGGCAGGCCTGGATATATGCTGTATCATTTAAACTAAGGCTGTTGTGTTGAGTCAGAAACACCTAGGTCAGGGGTAGGCAACCTTGGCTCTTTTATGACTCGTGGACTTCAACTCCCAGAATTCCTGAGCCAGCATGGCTGGCTCAGGAATTCTGGGAGTTGAAGTCCACGAGTCATAAAAGCCAAGTTTGCCTACCCCTGACCTGGGGAAAACAGAGCCTTTTGATATGGTAATAATATGCCTTTCGTTATAAAAACAGGAACTATCCCCAAACCAAATCTTTAATATGTGATTTTTGAACATTTATACATACACAGATATGAATCTTTTCTTACTTTTAACAATGAGAAAAATCTGCTTCTGCTTCTAAAATGGAAGGAATTATAAGTAGTCCTCAGCTTATAAACCACTATTGCAGCGGTTCTCAACCTATGGGTCGCGACCCCATTTGGGGTCGATCGACCATTTCACGGGAGTCGCCAAGCAAGGCTGTCCGCCATTTTTCCCCCCTTTTCCGGCTGGTGCCTTACCTCCCTTGAGCTGGGCCAGCTGATGGTCGGCCTGCTCCGTCTCTGCCGCTTGCCAGCTATGCCTTGGCCGGCGCAGGGGGCGGAACCACGCATGCGCGCTGCTCCCGGGCAGGGAAAGTCCTCGACTTACGACTGGTTGGGTAGTCCTCGACTTACGACCGGTTTAGTCCTCGACTTACGACCGGTTGGGGGTCGCGGCATTAAAAAGATTGAGAACCACTGCACTATTGGGATCAGACTTTTGGTTGCTAAGTGATGGGTTCATTAAGTGAGTCATCATGTGACTAGACCAGTGGTGGGATTCAGCCAGTTCGCACCAGTTTGGCAGAACCGGTAGCTAATTTTTTGTTGCCCAGGCCCAGAATGGACTTCCAGAAGCGGCATCCATGCAGAGAACCGGTTGTTCACATATTTGAATCCCACCACTGGACTAGGCCCAACTTTATGAGCATTTCTACTGTGACTGTTAAGCGAATCCCACAGTTATTAAGCAAACTGACTTTATTTGTCAGAAGCCAGTTGGGAAGGTTGCAAACTGGAATCACATGTAAGAAACTGGCAACCATTGTAACTAAGAGCCAGTTGCTAAGTGCCTGAATTGTGAACATGTGATTGTGGAGGTGGGCAACAGTCATAACTTCGAGAATGGTCATAAGTCACTTTTCCGTGGCTGTTGTAACTTTGAACTGATGTTAAAGAAACAGTCATAACTTGGGGATTATCTGTACACAAAAACAGTGATACATTATCAAATAAATTGATTAAATTCTCTTCCCCTCCACTTCTTCAAATGATAAGTGTTGAGATGAAAGGAAATTAAGGAATCATTGCCCATCTCCCCAGGTTAATTGAGAGACATAGACTCTTAATTTGGAAGGTGCTTGGGTTTCTAAACTGATCAGGGAATTTCTGGCTGAATTTTCTGCTCAGCCACGAAGGTCGGTGACTCCCTGTTTCCAAAAACTGTTGTGGGATTGAATGAGGAGAGACCTGCTCTGTGCGTTGTCTTAAGTTCCTAGAAGAATGCTGGTATAGAAGTACTAATGTGACAGCACACCAAATTCTGTTCTCTGCTTCTCTCTTCCAGTTGACCAAAATCCCCATCTTTGAATGTTCCCAGTTCTCCGATTGCAAGTCCTGTTTGGCAATGAAAGACCCATATTGTGGCTGGTGTGTTCTTCAAGGAAAGTAAGATTTCATTCAATTTATATCCAACTGCTTTCATATGGGACATCTCCCCTGGCTTCCAGAAATTAACACAACACTGTCCAGAGGGCAAAGTAGATGCAATTTCCCCCCCCAAAAGTTTTGCTATAACTTTGTGCTGAATGATTGTAAAGAAGTCCTTCAGGGGCACCAATGAGGATTTTGCAAAATCCTTTGTTCACATGCAGCAGTAGTCCTGAATTCATATACAATGTTTGTGGAGGTTCGTGTAAACTGTAATTTAAGAAGCTGGTTATAAAGTCCCTGTAAATCCTAAACATTTGTTCCATAATAGGCTTGGCAAGACATCCTTCTTACAATTTAGAAAAAAAATTGATTAAAACTCCTTGTTAAGCAGTGCATTATCTACTTCTGGAGATCATCTGAGGTTCCCAGACAAATTCATTGATTACATCTGTTCCTGGGATTTGGTAATTATGAGTAAATTAACTAAACAGATTCTAAATGGGAAAGAAGAATCACTTCCAAGAGCCCATTATCTGTTGTTTCGCACATTGATGCGAACAAATGTTACCAGGCAAGAAACATAAAAAGGAAATTTATTGAAAATGATGTTCCATTGATATTTCCCAGTATTTTCTGAGCACTGTTTGGAGAATTAAGAGTGCAAGGAAATTTCTAAAAGTTTTTTTTAAAAGGAAGCAGAAAAGTGTAATAGCTTTTTTTGTCTTGTTTTCTGAGACATATTTTTGTTTCTATGTTATTTGCATTATAGGCAATATAAATAATAAATAAGCTTTCTCTTACCTTGTGAACATTTTTTAATTGCTGGTTTCTGTGAGGGATCAAAAACATTATAGAGGATTCGGCTTTGGAACTGAGGTACAGTGCTAGAGGTTAGGGAGTCTCTCCAAATTAAACCATCTTGCAGATCATCCTCATCTGATTATTCCATAAGGCAGTGTTTCACAATCTTGGCAACTTTAAGATGTTTTATAGGTGGCGTTTGGATCCTCAAAAATTGTCATGCATGTATTCTAATTTACAGCCCAAATGTTGGAGATGTGGAAGTTTAGATGCAACTTATTTTCATATTTGGTGGACGTGTAGGGAAATAAAAGCATTTTGGATCAAGATTTGGTGGAATATTCAAAATATTTTTAAGAAAAAGATAAAGTTTATACCGCAGTTATTTCTGTTAGGTATCATGGGAGATTTGGATGCTAAAGAAATGAATTTGATGTTAAATCTCATAACAGCTGCAAGACTATTGGTAGCTCAAAATTGGAAGACGGATCGCTTGCCTACTGTAGAAGAATGGTCTCTTAAAGTGGCAAATTTAGCAGAAATGGCTAAGATTTCTGCTTATTTAAAGGATCAAACACAGGAAAGATATATTTCGGTTTGA